GGGCAACAGAGCAAGACTCGGTCTCAAAAAAAAAAAAAAAAAGACCCCAAGCAGCTGAACTGTCATCTTCCCACCTTTTTTTTTGGGTGGCTGAGCAACTTCTCACCTGAGTTTTAGGCTTACAGATTTGAAGCATGTACTCCTGCCTTTGAATGTTATTCCCCTGTCCCACCTTCCCAGGAAAATATTATCTTTTGTAGAGTACGTTAATTGCAGTCCACAAAACCAAGTATGTCAAGTTGACTGCCACCACTGAGGCCACCATTGTTTTTGTAGGCTCCTGTGGTTCTCTACACCATTCCAGCCTCCTCAACCCCCAAATTCATGCTGGGCTACAGAAATCTTGAACCTTTGGCAGGGTTGGGAACCCATGGGCCTCTAAGCCAGACTCCCTGGAGGCACAGATATAACCCTTCCCTTTTGGTTTCATAGTTTCCCCCTACCAGGACCCGAGTCATCTCTATTTTTGGGTAACATATTTCTGCTTCTCTCAAGCATTCGACCTCTTCCTTCAAGTATTATTTTCCTCTCTGGCTTAGGCTTTTTGGGAACTATAGCCAGTAAGTCTAGTGAGAGTTTCTTCTGCTTTCTTGCTACATACATAACTGTCTTGAGGTAAGAAATCAGAGGGGAAAACAGGTGAAAAATATTATAGCTCAAAAACAGCCATATTAATTCAATTTTCAGCCATATTAATTCAATTCCAGAAGCAATTACATTTTTAAAGACAATAATTTTATAGAAATACAGTACATTTACTGCTATTTCTAAAGATAAAGATAATTCACAATAAGTTGGGTTTTTTGTTTGTTTTTGAGACAGGGTCTCACTCTGCTGCCCAGGCTAGAGTGCAGTGGTATGATCACTGTGGCCCTGATTTCCCAGGCTCAAGCAATCCTCTTGCCTCAATCTCCCAAGCAGCTGGGACTACAGGTGTGAACTACCACTCCGGCTAATTATTTTATTTTTTTGTAGAGATGGGTTCTCACTTTGTGACCCAGACTGCTCTCAAACTCTTAGGCTCAAGTAATTCTTCCACTTTGGCCTCCCAAAGTGCTGGGATACACATGAGCCACCATACCTGTCCCACATGTTGTTTTGACAGGAAGTTAGAAAGATGTCTATCAGGGTGATTCCCATGTTTAAATAGAAAATACACATAAAGCCAAAGCAAATATTCACCGCCATGAAACAGTAGCTATTACTAAAATTCACACTTCATAAGCAACTTTTTAGGAGCTGAATTGGTGAATATATCTGGGATTGACTAAGGCCTCACTAATATTGCCTTACTTTCTGCTTTATATCCTTGTTTAATATTTTCTGTAACTTACTGAATAAAACCTAAGACTTGAATGTACTGCAATATGCAGTATATAGAGCCCATAGCTTTTTTTTGGCTGGAATGCAGTGGCGTGATCTCCGCTCACTGCAACCTCCGCGTCCCAGGTTCAAACAATTCTCCTGCCTCATCCTCCCAAGTAGCTGGGATTACAGGGTGCCTACCATCACGACTGGCTAATTTTTTTTTGGTATTTTTAGAAGAGACGGAGTTTCGCCATGTTGGCCACGCTGGTCTCCAACTCCTGACCTCAGGTGATCCACAGGCTTTGGCCTTCCAAAGTGCTGGGATTACAGGCGTGAGCCACCGCACCTGGTTTAGAACCCTTATCTTTATGTAGCGCATTAGTAAACAAAATGACTTAAATATAGTTATGTGAAATTCAATAATTCAAACTTAAAGCTGTTGGAGCTTTATTTTGAGCTTTGAGAGGAATGCGGCTACAGCCTGAGTCAAGCAGCAGGCATCTGCAACGTCTGCCTTTTGTTTCTGTAAATAATTATAATAGGAGGACCAGACCATACCAGAGATACAACCCCCTGAGATCACGACCCCTGCTCACGGAATAACAGAGGACCCTTTCCTGGAATACAGCAATCTATAACCTACCAGATAGCTGTAAGTATGCACTGGCCTGTTATGAAAATAAAATCCTGCTAAAATTTTCTCTGCCCACCTAAGTGAAACCTTAACTTCACTTTGGAATGCTGACTCCATTTGGAGCTGCTGTTTCCTGGGTGGCTACCCGGAAGCCTGACGCTGGAATAAACTCTATACTTAATCATATTTCCTGAACCTCACTATTTAAGGTTGACAGCAGAGGTTAAGTGGTGATGTCTTGAGATAAAGCTGAATAAAGTTTCTCAAGAAAAAAAGGGAAAGGGACCACTGAGCTGTACGTTGTTTTCTAACTCTAGGGAGTCAGAGAGGTGAAGTAGGAACTTGAAGTTGGAAGCGTTGAGTTGGACAGCTCTCATCTCTAGACAATACTTTCATAAAGTGGAAAAACGTGGAGGAGGCAGGCTAGGAAGGGATGCAGGGATCCACCCACCCCAGTCCGGGGTTTCCCACTCGCTCTTGGAGTTCTTTGAGTACAAAGAGCGCTCCCAGGCCCCTTCTCTTGTGCTCATCCCTGTGCTCGGGTGGGTCAGGTCTCCGGAACTCGTAACAAAAGCAAACAGCTGAGCGGCGGAGGGTGCTGGAGACAGGTGTGGGTGTGCCCCAAGGACGCCTGGCGACTTCCCGGAGCAGCGGGTCTGTGAGGCTACGATGGAAGACCCTGCGCTCCACAGCCTATTAGCAGGCCATGCCCATGTGGCTCCAAGTAAAAGATAGTTCCCCAGAAACCGTAGGCCGCCGGCGCTGTGCCTTGGCCCGCGCTAGATCCCGTCTCTCGCCCCGACCATCGGTGCCACCCGGAGTCCCCAGGCGGAACCCCAGCTCAAGAAGCCCGCCGGCCGAAGCTCCCCACTGGCTTGACAGCCGCTACGACGAGGCGCCTACGCAAGTTTCCGAGAGGCGGCCTGCGCCTAGCACGCAGGCGCGGAAAGCTGGGCGCCAGTCTCGAGCCGACCCGCGCCACCTGTCTCCGGCCGCGCCGTCCGCCGTTTACTTTCGAACAAGCCCAGCAATCGTTCCCATTGGCCGATGCCACACAGTTGAACGTTGCCTGCAGCCTGCGCCTGCGCCGCGAGGCTCCGCCCCGTCTGGGCACTTGAAGCCCTTCGGGGCGGAGCCTCGGGGCGGCTCTCAGCATGTGCCGGGAGCTCTTGGCGGTGTTTCGGTGCTGTGGAGTCGCTTGGTCCGCCTCCTACCCGCGGTGAGTCTAAGAACCTTTTATTCGGATCCGAGAAGGCGGCTCTGAGTCTTTTTTCTTTACCTGGAGCACAGGCTGGTGTGCCCAGTGTGTTTGGTGACGATGGAGGAGGGTGGCTTGGGTCCTGCACTCATTCCGTCTTGTCCCACACGGGAGTTTGGGGAACCACTTTCCCGCCCCTCCACTCTGGAGCTGGGTTCCTGTGAGGGAGGAGGCCTCTCTGGTGGCGAGTGTGAGATGAGCGGACGCTGCCGAGTCGGTCCGCCCGGCGGGTGTTGGGGGCGGGCAGGCGCCGAGGCTGAGACGCGTTAGGAGGGAGGTCTGGGAGAGTGGAGCTTCGGGAAGGGGAAGGGAAGAGTACTGCCATTTTGAGCCCCTTTATGCGAGGTGCTCGCAGGACTTAACTGGGTTAGGTGCAGTTATGCCCATTTTACAGATGTGAAGCCTCAATTTTGAGGTGTATTAGGTACATCTGACCCAGGGTCCCACAGCATTGAAATGGCAGAACAGAGAGATGAGCAGACTATATTAAATCAGTTTTAATTTTGAGCTGGCAGTCTTTTACTCCTATGGATGCTTTTGCCTTGCAGTTAATTTTAAGCACTCTAAAATGACCGTGAGTATTGGTTCTGCCATCACCATTGTTGGTTAATATTGTCGAGAGCTCATAAGCTATTTGACATTGCAAAAAGAGGTCCTTCGTGACAGTCTCTTAGTTCATAGAGTTGGGATTTTCAAGGTACTAGCGATACCTCCACTTCAGTTCCAGCAACTTGGTATTTGTGACTTTTCTGAAAACAGTGAGACACAGTGAAGATAAACGTCAAAGACAGTGAACTAACAACGATTTTTATGACATGAGACAATAAATCGAAAACATTAAAGATAACATCATTTTAATTTTAGAATAAGAATAAAAGATTCTGGAAGAGTTGGAGAAGATAGTGCATTCAGTCCCCAAACCAGCAGATCGGCAAAGTAGGTAAGTTCTGAGAGATTAAGTGACTATGGAAAACATTTTAGGTAAGTTCTTACAGAGTGTATGATTTAAACTATTAGGTGAAATTTAAAAGTCTTGAAAAAACATTCTGTTGGTAGAGTAAGTAGCCATTTAATTTGGCAAGACGAAATTTTGAGTTTAGGTAATGTTAGTTTTGACATTGCCTTTCACCAAACACGTTGCTGAATATTTTCCACTGGATATATTTTTACTTTGAAAGGTATAACAAAAGCAATTAAAGCCTCAACTTCTCAAGTCGATTCCTGGTTAAATTGAATTAATAATTAAAATCAGCTGGCCATAGTTTTTTTTTTTTTTTTCAATTTGAAAAAGTTTTGGTGCCCTCTTATTATATTTGTATATTTATATGTGACAAGATTATTTTTTAAAAATCTTGTTTCTCAGGCTTTCTGGGACAATGTTAAAAAAAAAATCCTATATATGTATATCAGTGGTGCAGTTGTAGTTATTTCTTAAGTAAGGCCTGAATTGCATGAAATGTGTTTCTTCTTTATCAGCCCACAAAGATGTGAGCCCCAGTTTGGGTGGTGGCACCACTTGAATTTTCCTATACTTAAAGCTGACTCACTAGGAGTCTTTGGGCAAGTCATCGAATTCTATACTGTAGTAAATATATGTTCTTTTCAGAGGTTGTAAAATGTAATGAACGTTTTATAGCCCTTCATGTTTAGAGCTGAAAGGCAGGAAAGCATTAGTGAATTAAAACTTAAAAACTGATTTATACAGGAGACTGGGTAATTATATTTTTGGTGCTATTAATTCATCATCTGTTATACTATTTGTTACCTAATATGCCAGTTAGACATCATGGAGTCTCCCTAGCGAATTGTCCCTCTGGAGAAAGACTTAATATAAAGTTTGAAAATTCAGAAATGTATTTGTTTTTGACAGTTAAACACACTAGACATTAGTGAAATGATTGATAAGTAGAGTGATTTAGTCAGGTTTCTTTCTGAGAAGATTCATTTTTTTATATTCATATTTCTTGGTGACTTAAAAGAAGTGCTGGTTTTCACATGGGCTAACTACTCACTAGAGGAAAATACATTTTACATCGATTATTTTGTTTTTTTGCTTTTTAAAGACAAAATAGTATAAATTGATTCAAATTCATTTAGCAAAAGAAAGACTGGATAGTAGGGAAGACACTTAAAATTTTTTTAAAGTTTTTTTTTTTTTTATTGTGTAAAATATACTTAACATAAAATGTACATTGTAATCTTTTTTTTTTTTTTGAGACAGAGTCTCGTTCCCTCTCGTTCCGTCGCCAGGCGCCAGGCTGGAGTACAGTGGCAGGATCTCTGCACGCTGCAACCTCTGCCTCCTGGGTTCAAGCAATTCTCCTGCCTCAGCCTCCCAAGTAGCTGGGACTACAGGCGTGCGCCACCATGCCCAGCTAATTTTTGTATTTTTAGTAGAGACGGGATTTCATCATGTTGGCCAGGATGGTCTTGAACTCCTGACCTAGTGTTCCGCCCGCCTTGGCCTCCCAAAGTGCTGGGATTACAAGCAAGAGCCACCTCATTGTTATCTTTATAAGTATGCAATTTGGTGGTATTAAATACATTCAGATTGTTTTGTAACTATCACCACTATCTCCAGAACTTTTCATCTTCCCCAAACTGAAAACTGTGTACCCATTAAATTAGCAGTCCTCAACCTTTTGGCACCAGGGACCAGTCTTGTGGAAAACAGTTTTTCCATGGACAGAGGTCGGGTGGGTGGTGGATGGTTTTGGGATAAAACTGTTCCACTGCATATCATCAGGCATTAGTTAGATTCTTACAATGAGTCCACAACTTAGATCCCTCGCATGGTAGTTTACGGTAGGGTTCACACTCTTATGAGAATCTAATGCAGCCACTGATCTGGCAGGAGATGGAGTTCAGGCGGGCCTGCCCGCCACCAGAGCAGGGGTGTGGGGAGGGTAGGGAGGGTTTGGGACCCCTGCATTAAACAGTAACTCAGCATATTCCCTGCTTTCAAGCCTTAGCAACTACCATTTTACTTTCTGTCTTTGTGGACTGCTTATTGGTTTTGATATTATATGCTTTTTCACATATATGTGATTGTAAATTTTTTTCCCATTGAACTGAGTGAATTATATTAATAGATTTTCTGTTAGTGAATTAACTTTATATTTCTGTAAAGAACCTTACTTAGTCATGGTATAGGGTTTTTTTTTAATGTACTCCTGTATTTTTGCCAACATTGTATTTAGAATTTTACATCAGTGTCCATTTTTGAAATTTGTCCATTTTTAATTTATATTATCTCAGGTTTTGGAATCGTGTTATACTGTCTTCAAAACAATTAGCAAACTTTTCATATTTGTATTCTGAAACAGTTGAGTAGGGTCTAGTCCACACTTTAAGGGAGGAGATTTCAGGAGTATCCAGGAAGTGTAGGTCATTGGGTGCCATTTTAGAGGCTGCTTATCACAGATGAGCTAATGGCTTGTTTATTTACTTAAAGAACCAACTCTTAGACCACTATATTCTTAGCACTTTTGGGAGGCTGAGGCGGGAGGATCGCTTGAGACCAGGATTTTGAGACCAGCCTGCAGTGAGATCCTATCTCTACAAAGCATAAAAACATTAGGCATGTGTGTTGACATGCACCTATAGTTCCAGCTACTTGGAAGGCTGAGCTGGGAGGATTGTTTGAGCCTGGGAAGTTGAGGCTGCAGTGAGCCTTCATCACACCACTGCATTCTAGCCCTGGTGACAGAGCAAGATTCTGTCTCAAAAAGAGCCATCTTTTGGATTTATCAGTTCTAGCAATTTTTTTTTTTTTTTTTGATACAGCGTCTTGCTCTGTCGCCCAGGCTGGAGTGCAGTGGTGCGATCTTGGCTCACTGTAACCTCTGCTTCCTGGGTTCAAGTGATTTTCCTGCGTCAGCCTCTCTAGTAGCTGGGATTATAGGCATGCACTACCACGCCTAGCTTAATTTTTGTGTTTTTAGTAGAGATGGGGTTTCACCATGTTGGCCAGGATAGTCTTGATCTCTTGACCTTGTGATCTGCCTGCCTCGGCCTCCCAAAGTGCTGGGATTACAGGCGTGACCCACCACGCCCAGCCAGTTTTAGGAATTTAAGTTTTTTAGTTCATTATCATCTTCCATTTTTCTGTCATCTTTTTTTAAAGACAAAATCTGGCTCTGTAGTTTAGGCTGGAATGCAGTGGTACGACCATGGCTCAAGGCTCACTGCAGCCTGGATTTCCCAGGCTCAAGCAATCCATCCTCCTCAGCCTTCTGAGTAGCTAGGACTAAAAGGCGTGTGCCACTATGCTTAGCTAAGTTCTTTATTTTTTGTAGAGATGGGGTTTCACTGTGTTGCCAGGGCTGGTCTCAAACTGCTGGGCTCAAATGATCCTCCCACTTTGGCATTCCCAGGTGCTGGGATTACAGGTGTGAGTCACCACATCAGGCCTATCTTTATTCTTTTTTTCCACTTTTCCCCGTTTTTTTCCCTTTTAAAAGTTGAATTATCATTTTACATTCTTTTTGGTTTGGTGAGGAAAGTGTATGGTGTCAGCTCTGCCCATATCATTTTTTTTTTAACTCGAGATTTCACTGAGAGTATTTCTGTTGTTGCATATGAATAAATTATGTCTTGGCTATGTACAGAATTCTCAGCTCATATCCTTGTCCTTCTAGACCTTGTGGACATTGCTGCATTATCTTCTAGCATTCCTTGTTGCAGGTAATGTTCTGGTTATTTCCTGCTGTGTAACAAACATCTGAAAGTTTGGCTGGTCTGACATTCAAGATGTCTTTTTCACTCATCTGTCTGGCAACTCCTTGCCCTTCTACTTGGCCTGTCTCTTCAGCAAAGTAGTCTGGATTTCCTACATAGCAGTTTGTGGCTCTGAGGCAGCAACCTGCCAAGTTAGTTAAGGGCTATACCTAGAACTACCGCATCACTTATACTGTATCCTATTGGTCAAAGCAGTCACATGGCCCACACACATTCTAATAGGGGGAGAACTGATTTCATCTCTTCATGCAGAGGGAGTAGCAGCAAACTCACAGGACAGCACATGTGGGAGATAATTATTGTGGCCATTCCAATTTTGGAAATGAGTCTCCCAAAGGAGAATTCTGAGACCTTTGGTTTTGTTTTCCTTTTTTCTTCCTTCTTTTCTATGCGGTTTCTTGTAGGATTATCTTTAGTTCTTTAAGATTTTGTTATATTTTTAATTGCTTACTAGTTAAAAGTAAAACCATAATTTATAATGAAAAACAGATTATTGCTCTCTAGAAGCAGTCACTTTTATCTTTTTTAACATTTCTTATGGCATTTCTTCTATATTTCTAGATATTTATTTTTTGTAATTTATTTTTTAAGTATGTATTGACTTTCTTATAAGGAAAGATTAAGTTTTAGTT